GGGGATGCACCCATCTCAGCCTCCCAAAGTGCTGGGATTACAGGTGTGAGCCACCATGCCCGGCCAATTACTGAGAATTCTTGCCTTTTTCACAGGATTATTTTAAGGATCAAATGAAAAGTTATACGTGAAAGAAGAATGACGCCATGAAGTGATACCGAAACCAAAGTTGATATATGTATTGCCTTTCCCACTCAATGTAGTTCGTTTTTTGTTTTGTTTTTTTGAGAGACGATTTAACTCTACTTATGGTGACCAGGCATTGCTTGGGTACTGCTACTACGGAAATAAACAAAGACAAATCCTCACCCTGAGAAATGTTGCCAGCCTAATGCTGAGAGGTTAAGGAAGGGAAGGGGTATTAAGATAGGAGAGGGCAGAGGCAAGGAGGAGGGCCCAAAGAGATGAGGGCAAAGAAGAGCAAGGGAGACGAGCACTGTGGCTCATGCCTGTAATCCCAGCACTTTGGGAGGCCAAGGCAGGCAGATGACGAGGTCAAGAGATTGAGACCATCCTGGCCAACGTGGTGAAACCCCGTCTCTACTAAAAATATAGAAATTAGCTGGGCGTGGTGACATGCACCTGTAGTCCCAGCTACTCCAGAGGCCGAGGCAGGAGAATCGCATGAACCCGGCAGACGGTGGTTGGAGTGAGCCGAGATCGTGCCTCTGCACTCCAGCCAGGGCGACAGAGCGGGACTCCGTCTCAAAAAAAAAAAAGAAAGAAAAAGATATCTCTCGTACAGAATGGAAGCTCAGTGTGGCAGGGCAGAAAGACTATCCTGACTATGTAATCTACTAGACCAGAGCTGGCGAGAGCTTCAGTTAAGGCATGGTCATGGGTGGACGGAGAAAAGGTGATACAATTGAAAGTCAGAAGGTAGATTTAGTAACATTTGGAACTCATGAGATTTGCACAGAGGGCAAGAGGAAGGGACACCTGACTCAGAACAGATGGGGGTAATGAAGGTGTCTTCCAGGAAGATGGGGAATGTGGAAAGAAACAAATCGGTTTGGAAAGCAAGATGATGCATGTGGTTTTGGAAATAAGCTGGGTTTGAAGTGCCTAGTATCCATCCAGAAGGACCTATCTACCAGGCAGTTAGAAACATTGGTGTAGCCAGGCACAGTGGCCCACGTCTATAATCCCAGCACTTTGGGAGTCCAAGGTGGGAGGATGGCTTGAGCCCAGGATTTCGAGACCAGCCTGGGCAATGCAGTGAGACCCTGACTCTACAAAAAATAAAAAAAATTAGCCGGGCCTGGTGGTGTGTGCCTGTAGTCCCAGTTACTCAGATGGCTGAGGTGGGAGGACCCCTGAACCCAGGAGTCCAAGGTTGCAGTGATCTTTGATTGTGCTACTGCACTCCAGCCTAGACGAGTGAGACCCTGTTTCACACACACACACACACACACACACACACACACACACAATGTGTAGCGCTCAGGATAGGGTCTCAGCAGAAGATACCAATTTGGGAGCACTTTTAAGGGACAGAAATATGGAAAGCAGGGAGTCAATCTCACTTGAGTTGCACAGAGAAAAGAAGATGGCCAAGGCCAGCACGGGGGAAACCAGGAATATTGACGGGGAAGAGCAAGACATGAGAAGACTGAGATGCGGACCTAGAGAAGGATAAGGGTGACCAGGAGAGTGGACAAGTCCTCTTCTAAGGAAGAAAAAGCAGTGGAAACATGGCCATGTCTCTTACCATGTAGTTCCCCTCCAAATACACACACACACACACCTGTCCCCCACTAGCCTGCCTAAGGCAGAATTAAATGTGAACAAAGCACGTTTTTCACTTCATAAAAGCCACAGATTCAGAGTGGGCTTACTGGTAACCAAGGTAGCCATGTAGAAGCTAGTTATTAGAGGAAGAGGTGGGTTTGAGACAGGGTCTCACTATCTTGTCACCCACACTGGAGTGCAGTGGCACAATCTCAGCTCACAGCAGTCTCTGCCTCCCGGGCATAAGTGATTCTCCCACCTCAGCCACCCTAGTAGCTGGGACCACAGGCAAATGGCACCACTCCCGGCTAGGTATTTCTTTTTTCTTTTTCTTTTTTCTGTTGTTGTTGTAGAGACAGGGTCTTGCTATGTTTCCCAAGCTGGTCTGGAACTTTGACTTCAAGCAATCCGCCCGCCTCCGCCTCCCAAAGTGCTGGGATTAACAGCTGTGAGCCACAGTGCCCAGCCAGAGGAAGAGTATTTCTTTACCGTATCCTTAATTATCCTTTTTTTTTTTTTTGAGACAGAGTCTCACGCTGTTGCCCAGGCTGGAGTGCAGTGGCCAGATCTC